GTACCCAAGAGAAATGAAGTCCACCCAAAACTTGTGCAAAACTATTCTTAAGCATTATTATGAATAGACAAAGTGGGAATGATGCAATGTCTATTACTGATGAACAGGGAAAAGGTGCTACAACCATCAGGAACATTCTGTGAATGGAGAACTTATCCATGCTACAGAATGGCCAAGCTTGAGGACATCTCAGGGAAAGGGGCTGGACAGAACAGGTCACATACTCTACATGTCCATCTTGTTGAATGCTCAGAATCAGCAAATCTAGAGTCATGGATGATAGTTGCCTAGAGTTGAGGTTTTCAGGAAAAATAAGTGAGATGGGACTGGGGCTGGGGCTCAGTGGTAGAGTGCTTGCCTAGCATGTGTGAGGCACTGGGTTTGATTTCCACATACAAATAAATAAAATCTATTGACAACTGAAATAAATTAAAAAAAAGAAAAAATAAACAAATGACTGCCAACAGATAGGKCCTTCTTTTGGGGGGCAATGGAAACTTCTAAAATATCAGTTTATTAGAAAGAACCCAATGCACAAAGATGGCAAAGTGTGAGACACTAATCACAGGTGTGTTTGCCTTGGTGGGCGGGGGCACCGCAGCTGTCAAGAGACACTATTTAGAGAGAACGCTGTTAAATTCACTGCTGAAGGGTTCACAGTTAAGAAATCTTCTAGAATGACACCATCAACTAGTTCTAATCTCACTGTACAATCTGTCTCCCAGCCAGCTTCCTGAGGGCACTCTGGACCTCCTTGCTTCTCAGGCTGTGAATGATGGGGTTCAACATGGGTGTCACCACACAGAAGAGCACAGAGACCAGGGTGTCCGTGTCCAGGGAGTCGCCTTCTCTGGGCCTGTCATAGTGGAAGTTGGCTGTTCCATAGAAGACCACCACAACAGTGAGGTGGGACACACAGGTGGAGAACGCCTTCCTCCTGCCCTGGGCAGAGGGCATCCCGAGGATGGCCGCCATGATGAGTGTATAGGAGCCTGCAGTGAAAAGGCAGGGCCTCAGGCCCATGGTGGCACTGGCCAAGTGGAGCGCAGACTCGTGGACAGAGGTGTCTGAGCAGGAGAGCTTCAGGAGCAATGGGGTGTCACAGAGAAAGCGGCTGATCTGGTGGGGCCCACATAGAGTGAGTGTGGTGGCCATCACCATGTGTGTGACCGAAGTCACCTGCCCACACAGCCAGGACCCAGTCACCAGGCCAACACAGACCTTCACACTCACGAGGACTGGGTACTGAGGAGGACAGCAGGTGGCCACACAGCGGTCATACGCCATGGCAGCCCAGAAGCTACTCTCAATGTCAGAACTGGTCACCAGAAGGGGATCTGGGAGAAACACCTCTTAGGCTGAACCTGTTCTGAGAAGCTCTCCATCATGACCTGGACTAGGCGTGTACGTAGCTGATGT